ATAGTGCCAGGTTTTACCAGGCATGTGTTCCATTCAGCTGGTCTGTGGACATGGGCCTGTCCACTCCAGGACCTGCAGATGGTCAGAACTGGGGTCTCAGTCCAGCCTCCAGTGGGGCCCCTGGCTTTTCTCTCAATCACCCTGGGTGACAAGGGTCCTGCCCCAACCCCTAGACAATTTCATGCATCCCACATTCAGTGCATGCTACATCCTGGACCCACTTATCCTGGCTCACCTGTCCTATCTGCCAAGGAGTAGGCTTCCCCCAAGCTGGGAACAAAGTGGCTGCCACCTTCTCAGCATCCCAGCACCATCCAGAGGCAGAAATAGGGGAGTCCTCCAGCTTCTCCTCCACCAAGAGTATTGCGTCTCTCACTGGCCAGACCCAGCCACACGACTCTAAGCAGCCACTGTGGTGGGATGCTGGGCCCCAGGGCACGTGGCTTGGCCCAGGGTGGCACCTTGCTCTGAATGCCCCATGTGTGAGGGAAATGGAGGGCTCTTGACAAGGAGGTGGGGGTGCTGGCTGGGGGCTGGCAGGGTGCAGGCAGCCCCAGTCCGAGCCTCAAAGGGAAGCGAACTCTCCCTCTTAAGCACCCCGACACCCCCGCCTGTCTGTGTACAGGGATGGCCACTGTCTCCATCATTTCTCCAATTCTCTGTCCCAAATGGACCTTGTTAGGGATGTAAGAAATCATTGAAGTGAGACGCGCTGGCCGCAGTGAACTCTGCAGCCAGTTGGTGGACAGCGTGGACCGCAGTGGAAGTCTCCATGTGGCTGGCCCTCCGGGCCCCTTGGGTGACTCAGAGTGGGGGAGGGACTTGCAGGGCCAAGCGGTGCAGGCTTCCACCAGGATTCAGGCTGAGCTGTGAGCCTGAGGGAGTCCATTCGTTTCTGGGAGTGGGCAGCCTGGCCCTTGCCTCCTCTTCCTGCCGTGTGGGCCTGAGCTCTGTGTGACAGACCGGGTGCTGAATGCTGGCCTCAGGCCGATCCCCAGGGCTCGTAGAGGCCCCCACCTGCCCCTCAGAGTCCAGGCAGGGCAGGAGGACTGGCTGCCAACAGGGTGGGGCCAATGGGACGTGGTCCTGGTGGGAGCCAGGGCCTGCAGCCTGGCCCCCTTTCTGTGGGCCGGACAGCACCAGCAGCTCACGAGGGCCATGGGGCACTTGGGCGTGGACAGGCCTCTTGATCCCCAGCTGGTTCCTGGGGGCTCTCACACCCTGGGCACTGGTGTGCCTCTCATCCCTGGAATTTCTCCTGACCAAGCCAGGCCTTTGAGGGGCCCATGGCAGGCTCCTCCTCACACTTCCATCAGCTCCCCAGAAGGACACCCTGTACCCCCACCCATTTCCTGAGAGCCCTTCTCCCTGACCCTTTACTATGGGCAATCAAGTGCAGATGAGGGGGTGACAGGGGCCAGCTGGGGGCTGGGCATAGAGAGGGTGGGACCCCCCAGGGCACGCCCAGCATGGGGCTGGGGTCTGTCTGCGGAGGCTTCCAGGGCACTGGCAGTCCCCCCGTCCTCAGCCCCAGCCCCCTTTCACTCCCGGCTCAGACCCGCAGGTGAGACCTGCGGTCAGAGGGGAGAAAGAAAGCAGGACCCAGGAGAGAAGCGCCGATCCAGGGCAGAGCGGAGCTGGGAGGGGCTGGGGGGACAGCCTGCAGGCTGCTGCCTGCCCCCGCCCCCGCTGGGGCTGCCCCCGTGGTCCGTCGCCTGGGCACACTCGCTGAGAAGGGGAATGGTGGATGCTGGCTGTGACCCCACACCCCACTGGAGTTTGCTACCCTGTTTCAGTTCCCTGAGGGCCCCTGAACTGGGGGACCTGGGAAGTGAGGCGCAGGCCCCATCAGCTCACATGGATTTCCGGGAAAGCTGGCCCCACCCCCGGCTCAGCTCCACATTCGGTTTCTTTCTGTCTTGCCACAGGCCTGGGGGTGGGGCCCGTTGGCGGCTCTGCTCGCACGCGAGGCCCTGGCCGGGGTCCAGGTGGCTGTCACTGCGGGGCTGACGGCCCCATCGCGTGACAGGAGCCCAGAGGAGGCCCCGCCGGGCGTGCCCCGCAGGGATGTGGCTGCGGAGGAGGGGAAGTGGGGGTGCCCAGCTGGGGGGGACACGCGATGCTGGGGGGCTGGTGTCCTTCCTTGTGCAGAACACGGTGGGGAGGGGAGAGAAGTTGGGGGGTCCCCCTAGGTGGGGGGCACACGATGCTGGGGGGCTGGTGTCCCCGTGCAGAACAC